GGGTTAGAACTGGATGATCTTTGAGGTCCTTTCCACCCCAAACCATTCTATGATTCTATCTCAGCTAGGTTCCTCTGTCCCATCCCCGGTGCCGGGCCATCTCCTGTGGAGCTGCTCGTTCGTATCGGTGCTGGTGTTCCCTTGAGTTTGGGATTTTCACTGGGAGAATGCCCCTATTTTCCCAAAACCTGGAGCGGCAGAAACTGTGACAGAGAGCCATGTCATTGGTGTTTTCTTTAACGTGGCAAGATGAATACTGAGGCAGGACTAATGAACGCTGCGGGAGCTGAGCTGGTGCTGCACACAGCTGGTCAATGCTGTCTCCAGTGTTGCTCATGGCATTCGGTGCATTTGGCCCCAGACAGTCAATACCAGTTGTCAAATACTCTTTTATTCACTCATTCTTTTATTGGAAACTTCCCAGTCATGGTTGAATTTCAGCTCTTTAAGGGTGGATGGCATCTTGCTTCCTTGATACAACTTCTACAGTTTTGTTGTATCAACACCTAAAAACTGGTTGAAGAATCTTGCCACTAAAAAAGCGCACAGCAAAATATTACAGTACTGATCTATGGTGAAGATGAAAGGTTATCATACTTGGCAAAAGTTACCTTTTGACCATTGAGCATGGTGGTAGGTGGTATGTGCTGCAGAGCCTGGGTGAAGCAATCAATCCTGTGGTCTCAAGTAGGTCGATCCAGAGCCAACTTGGTCCCTCGGTGCCATGCTTCTGAAACAGAAGATTTTATTTTTTTTTTTGAAAGTACTTTCAGCATTCGTTAGAGGAACTGAAGAAGGAGGTAGCATGGAAAATGTGAAAGTTTGTTACTGATTATTTGCAGCTATAATGCAGCTTCTTTCCCCCCTTTTATATTCTACGATATAAAACCTGGCAGGCCAGTGGAGCACTGTTTTCCCTGGAAGGGTAAAACTGCTTTTTTGGCTGCAGCATTGTTGTTACAGCATCTCAGAAATAACTGGGATCTAGCTTTTACTATAATTACTGTGTTTTATTCATGTCTCAGATAATAAGAGTTGTGTATTTCAAAGCCTGCTACATTATGTAGTCAGCTTTTGGATGCCAAGATTAGCTGGGTGTAATCTGCATAGCAGGAATCTTTGAAGTTAGTAGGTGGGGATTTTACAGGGCCAAGTGGGACCATCTCTGGGATTTAGAGTTTGAGTCATTACAAATAACCTTTCCAAGACAGTTAGAACTTGTCTTTTCAGGTAACGTATCTTGCATTTAAATGTGTTTTAAACACAGACTCTGGTACAGCATTTAAATTAGGAGCACCCTTCTCTTCTGTACCCCGTCCTTGCTCCGAGCGACGGTCCTGCTCTGACTGTGCAGCTCGAGGTAGAGAGAGAAAGGGGTGGCTGTGTCCAGTAAAAAACCATGTCCTTCCGTCGTCCCCAGCCTATAACCTTTCCTTCCTCATCTTTTCTCTCCCAGCAGCAGCCCATGTCCCAGCAAGCATCCCTGCAGCAGGTGCTTGCCAGCCAACCGGTTTGCCCCCTCCAGCCCGCAGCCCACCTGCTGCCCCAGTACCAGCCCCAGCCCTCCCAGGTGGCGGCCAGCAGCACGCCGCTGAAGCCCCTGCAGATCCCCGCCGTGCCGCAGCTTCCGCCGGTGGCCCCGTCCCAGGTAACGCCCGTGCAGACCGCGTGCGAGTGCATCCGCGGAGCAGAGCTCGGTCCGGCTAATAATGAACGTGATTTGTGGATTTTGTGGGGCTATTTGGAATGCATGCCCGTTGAATTAGTGTGTAAGAATATGGCTTTTTTTTTCCCTAATTCCTGTCTTTTTCTTTACTGTTTGTTTTTGTTTGGTGAAGCACAAAAATCTCCTTTGTGAGTAATCCTGTGTCATGCCTAGAGAATCCAGTTAATGGCAGTTAGAAAATGGCAATAACTGCATTTATTATTATTTTTTTGCACCTTCCCCTATGGCACACTCTTCCCCATCCCAGGCTTAAGAGCATGAGAAGTTGCCCTTTTTTTTTTTTTTTTTTTTTTTT